CATTTCACTTAGCCACCCTCTTCTGAACACCCTTTCCCAAAAAGGGAACTTGGAGTCAGGGTGAAAACTAACCCTCAGGATAAAAGCTAGTGATGGCTCTTAAGAAAGGGGTAAACTACAGTCCCTTTCAAGCATTAATCACCACTAGTACTTACCCAGGCACATCTCCTGAGAGGCTTTTACCAGCTGTGGGAGGCATGGATCTAAAAGATAAGTGATTAAGTTCACATTTCCTAGCTACCTGTGAGAAGCTACATGCTCAAGCCAATCCCAAATAACTGAGCATGAATGTATCCTGGGCATCTCCATTGGCCCAGTGTCCTCCCCAAATTCAACTCTGAATGAATCTGAGTGATTTTATCTGCCATATAAGCAGAGTCCCCAGCATGCCCCTGAAGATAGATATTTGAATTCTCATTACTCAGAAGGAATTGGGTCACCCTGAAGGAGGCCACAGTTATCTGCACATTTAATTAGTGCAGAAAACATCAGGAATGTTAGTTGGTGATTTTAATGCCAGACGACAAAATCCTATTCCTACCTTTAATGTATTAAATATGATAAGCTTCTTCAACTTGGCCTTCAGCATTTCTTCCACAATGGCATTATACAATAGGAAATTAGAGATCCAATCTTTTTAGCCATCAGATATGAATTAAAGAACTATTCCTCAGGACCCAAAATGAGAATTCAGTTTTTGAGACTCTAGAAAAATCAGTATCATTGACTATAATTTAATATGCCATACACATACACAAAAAAGATGGAAATCACAGAGGAAGATTAGAGATAATACTCTAACAATCATAATGGGACAAATCATTGCCAGTGGTCTTTTTCCATGTGGAGGTAAAGTTACCTGCCAAAATCCTTTGGCAGAATTGACTTTGAAATAGTTCTCCATCCCAACAATGATCACTTCCTACTACATGAGTTATAAATAGTCCTTAATTTATGAACACAATTGAGCCTAAAATTTCTGTTGCTAAGCAAGATGGTTGTTTAGTTTATGTTTTGCATAAAATAGGGTGTTTTGCCCAATTTTACAACCTTTCTTGCCACAGTTGTTAAGTGAATTATTGCAGTTGTTAAGTTAGTAGCACATTTGTTAACTGAATCTGGCTTCTCAATTGACTTTGCGTGTCAGAAGGGGGCACGGTAATTGACACAAATACATGCCAGTTGCCAATGTCTAAATTTTGATCATGTGACCATAAGGATGCTGCAACAATTGTAAGTGTGAAAAACAGTCATAAATCACATCTTTCAGTGCTGTTATAACTTTGAACAGTCACTAAACAAACAGTTGTAACCTGAGGAGTACATGTACTTTCTCTTCCCCCTCCCCCAATTAAACAATCTCAGAATGATTTGATAGGGTATACACATGCACAAAACAACAAAGGCAGTCCATAGTGAGTACTGTAATAAATTCCCAGCTGCTTACGTCCCTGAAGTAACATTGCTTAAACAGTTCATTATGCTAAGAATGCCTATGAAATCTAATAAAAGTACTGTTAATAACTAATGATTTCATAAAATTCACTTAAATATATCTATGCACCTATAAGAAGAAAATTCACAAATAAACTAGCCAAAATCAATGTAACGATTGTGTTTAACACCACTGATCCACAAACTCACAATTGCTATTAATGCCTATACTGTGTCCAATGCACTGTTGTTCAGGATCCTGTTTTGTGCCTATTCTGATGATTCACATTTTGAAACCATTCCAATGTACTTCTTCAGGTAGAACTTGGATATTCTTCTATAGCAGCTCAAATGATTATCTCATTTGACCTTTTTAGGTGTATCCCAGCTTGATTTTGGCAGGTAACTTTACATCCACATGGAAAAAGACACTGGCAATGATTTGTCCTATTATGATTGTTAGAATATTAGCTCTAATCTCCTTCTGCTATCTCCATCATTTTTGTGTATGTGTTTACAAGTTTATATTTACAAGTCCATTGGTTAATAATTGTTCTTCAAATTACTACAGAACTGAAAAAAGTATCTTTATACCTATCCTCAGACTTATATCCATTGCAGTGACCAGCAATTACAAGGCTGTCATTTGTGAGCTTCACAATCCACTTTCAACAACTAAAATCATTGGAGAAGCTGGCACTAAAATTGCAAATTGTGGTCATGTGATATCTCACTTAACAACACACGGCAATTCACTTAACAAGCAAGTGGAACTTAGATATAGTGCAGTTACTGGATGTTTTACTTAATTACCATGTCACTTAACAATGGAGTTGCCAGTCCCAATTGTGGTTGTTAAATGAGGACTACTTTTACTGCTTTTGGCTTCTGCCTATAAAGAATAAGCTAAGCAAGCAATTTATCAATGCTTCAAATCCCCCCCTTCTTTCTAAAAAGCAAGCCACAGCAGCAACCAGTTACAGGATCATAGTCCTTAGCATAAATATTTTTACCTTTCTCTTTCTTTGATTACTTCAAACCTCAAAGCTTTCTTCTTCCACCCCCTCTTCTCCCACACTGTGATTTTCAGCCTCACTTGGGGATATGCAGTTTCTTTTGCCACACAGGGTCTTTCCCAGTCCCTGAGTTAAAGCACTGTCCCCATATCCTTTTCTCAGCACACAGCTACATTGGCCTAATGTTGATTATGTTGCTAATCTCTATTCCTCTTCTATTTGCCAACATTCTGACTCATAACTGAATAGTGTTGTTCTGATTTAGAGTGACTAGAGCTCATGAGAGGCCAAGGAATGGATTGATTCCTTTGGCTTTGCTGTCCTCTATCTTTTTCAAGCTAGTGGGAAAATCTTTTGCCCATCATTGGCACTGCAGGAGTTCAACAGGTCTAGTTGCATGACCCTATATCCTGTTTGATCATAATCCAAAACAAATAAAGTTTTAAAAAAGCAGTGTCACAAAGGCAGCTGAGTCATAAGCACAATTTCTCTATAAGCATTTCCCTCCATTTCCACTCTAATATTATTTCAGGATTATACTGGAATGGCAAGGATCATCAAGTTGATTGCTCCCATCAATTTCTAAAAAATGGAAACATCCAAGTATCATATTGTATTAATCAAGGAAAGAACTAATCTAGAACTAAGGAGAAATGGTCTAACAGTGAGAACAATTAATCAGCAGAATGACTCGCCTCCAGTGCTTATGGGTGCTTCAGCATTGGACGTTTTTAAGAAAAAATTGAACAACCATTTTTCTGAAATAGTATAGGGTTTCCTGCTTGAACAGGGGGTTGGACTAAAGATTTCCAGGTTCCTTCCAACTCTGTTATTCTGTTATTCTATACACCCACTTCTCATTTAGTGACTGACTTCTGTTATAAGAATCAGATTGTTAGGATATATGACTACGACTGATAAAGAGAGAGAAAGAGACTGCAAAGATCTCTGCTTGCATCTGTCTGATCTGTCTTATATGGATAAAGTTCTCATAAAGCTTAGCTAGCATTACTCTCACTCCAATGCATGTGGTTGTCATGTATATGAAACCTGGTCATAAATATGCTTATCGGTAAGAAAATGAATTATTTATTACCATCACATTTTGAATGGTCACTAACATGAAGATCCCCATGAGTGGGGATACAAGCCAGCATGCCCTTATGTCAGGGAACCATTTGTATAGGATTTCCCAAGGAAGACAAAGAGAATCCCTGTAAACTTTAAAAACATAATATGCTGGTTTTGGACAAATTTGAAGCACAGCACAGTTCTGTTTGATTCTTTCAGGAGACAATAGTGGCAGAAAAAACCAGCCAAAGAGTGAATGGAAGGAGTCTCTACATCAGATTGAATTGACCAATAAATGCTTTCCTGATCTCTGAATTGATCAATAAATGCTGCCTTATTGGTCACCTTCAGCATAATGGCAAATAGATGGCATAACAATGATGCAACAGATTTTACATACCTTGTGGCTTTTGTTGCCTATTGTCTTGGAAACTAGGGTTCAAGTCCATCTCCAGCCATGGATGCCTGTAAGGTGACTAAACCAGTCACTTGCTCTCAAAGCAACCTACTTCATAGGGTTGTTGTGGGGAAAAATGGGTGTGATATAAAACTAGTAACTGAATAAATAACTGTTGGATTTTTTTCTGGAGAACTGCTGCCTCCCAAAGTACCCCTTTTCTCACATTTATAATACACAAATTATTCAGAAAGGCTGGGAAGACACCACGCATGAATGTCCCACCAATACCCAAGATTAAGTCAATCAGCCTTACCCACAGGGTAGCTGCAGTTGCTCTGTCCAGTGAACCAACCCACCTTGGAGATGGTATGCTGAGACCCAGGCCCTTCATTTGGGACTGATTATAGTTTAGGGCATGGGTATCCAACCTTGACAGGTTTAAGATTTGTAGACTTCAGCTCCCAGAATTGCCCAATCAGATACCCTTGGTTTAGGCGGGTCTTCAGAGAACTTAATTCTCGGATCTTGCTTGTTTTGAAATGCATTGTTTACAGAAGGGAAGTTATGCCTTCTAAGAAATATTTTTGTCATTCTGCTCGAAATCATTTTGTGGCAAGAGCATCTAAAATTGTTTTAAGAATGTAAGAGGATGGAGGATTCAGAAGGAACATTCCAGAGTGGATTAGTTTTGTCCTATATACTTTATTAAGAGAAAAAAAAAAGGTCATTGTGGGGATAATCTACTTATCCCTCTTGGTCTCCTTCCTTTTTATATGTCTTCAGGATTTTTTCTAGATTAAAAAAAGCTCCACAAACACAAGGTGTACTTGAATTTAAAAGTAAATACATCCCGTTGCCATATATCATGAAGGCTATTTCTCTAATAGACATCACCATAAAAATATAACTTCCAACAATCTGTTCAGCCTTCAAGGGAGTAAATTCTTCTTATCAGTTGCACCAGAATACTTTCTCCAGTAGAGCAGAAAACATCTGAGGATATTTAAATCTCTCTTCCAAGTTCTGCTTCAATACTGACTGTACAGGTGGAGAAACCAGGGTTAAATCTTTGGCATCGAGGGCAATAAATCATATATGTTTTACATGCAAGCATGTTGTCAACAAGAATAAAAAGGCGGTCCTTATATACAAGTTTTCTTCAATGCTCATTCAGAGCTTCTTTTCCCTGACAAACCGGCACTCACACTTCCTCTCTGCATCTGCTTGCAAAAGACCATGGACAGGGGTGAGTATGAAAGTTACCTTTTCTGAGAGTTCAATTCCTGCATAAGTTCTTGATGTCAAAGGAACAACAAGTGACTCTGATCATGTGCAGAGTGAAATCCTCTCACCTTAGAATAACTGCTTATTTCTGCTCACATAAATCAGAAAGATAGACAAAGTCTCATACTACTTCTCTTAGCTTCCTTAAGATTAGGAGAACTGACCGTTTCAAATGATAAAACAGAGAAACAGATTTCCATCTATATAAGGTTTACATGTTATAATCAAATGTTGTTCTCTTTTAAAGAGTATCAAGATGACATGGTTGTTCTCTAATGACTGAAATATTTTATTATATACATTTATATTTATACATATATTTATATACATATATTTAAATACATTCACATACACATTACATGTTATGTCATTATCAATTAGAAAAAAATGGCAAATTGCAAAACAGATTTTTAAAAAATATCTACCAATCTACATTATGACTGCACTGCTATCTATATATTAAGACATTGAGTATATTAGCTTTTATGGTTTTATTTTGCTGTTTTCCAGTTCCTTCATATATTACCTTATTATACTGTAATACACTTGATATTTTATTATTTGGATCATATATATTATATGTCTTATCTGGGGAATCACAGAGGAGCATGCAGCCGTGAGTCTGGCTAGCATCCTGAAAGATCTCCCCCCCTTTAATTAACTTTTAACATTGAATTTTAATCGTTCTTGCTTTTCTTAACATTTTATATTTGTTTTTATGCTTTAATATTTCATTTGTACACCACCCAGAGTTTCTCTGAGAGGGAGCTGGGAGGTTTCAACATTTAATAAATAAATAAGTAATAAATTATATGGATGAGAGCTGTTTAATTCTAATTACATTTTTAACTTGATTACATTTATTGTTATTGCTAGTTGAAAATGTTCATTTGTAGTTATCTTATAATTCCCAAATTAATCATTTATAATTGTATATTTCATTTGTATAGCTTTTGGGCATAACTTGCTTCTTATGTTACATTAGTTATATTATTATTGATGTAATTGTTTACTTATTTAAAGGGGGTATACGGCTGATCATTTTATCCAGTATAATTCTGGGCAGCTCACAACATACAAAAATGACAAAACAGAGAAGAAAATGAAATTGTCCAACCAATGTTCCATAGTATTCTTATTCCAAATATAAATGCATTCGGTGAAATTCCTATACTAGTCCAATGCTTGAGGGAAGAGCCAGATCTTAACCTGGATCCTTTCTTAACCTTATACTAGCAAAAATCAAAATAAATGTATTAAATTGAAAAATAACAAATTCAGACAAGATGTTTTAGGAAAATAGCTCCAAAGCTGAAATGTGCCTAAAAAGCCAATTTAGAGAGTTTTCTATTTCAGTTTACTTTATTTTGGTTTTTGAACCCTTTCAGTTGGGTTGCTTTGGACAAACAAAGCTGCTTTTTTGAATCTAAAGTAGATAACAGTCAGGTCCAATTTTGAACCAATTTTGGCTTTTCAGAAGAAAAGTTGGAGGCAAGAGTCATGCAGGAGTGGGATAACTGTCCTTATGGGTGTGTAAGCCAGGAATGTACTTGGTAGGGGTGCAAGCCCCCTATCCATCACTTTTCAACACCTTGTCAAAAGAACAATCTAGTGAATTAATTTGCTGGCCAACACCTTAGAGTCAATTATCTAAGAAAGTAGGAATCTCCAACCATACCTAAATGATTGCTGTTATTTTGGACATGATCCTTCATGGACTTTTCCACCCCCATTAAGAAATGGCAATACAAAATAACCTAGGGTACCCTTCACTTCCTGATACCCTCCAGCTGGACTGGGCAAGATTTTGAGAATTGTAGCCCAGTCTATCAAGAAGGCACCAAGCTGTGGAAATCTTGGCAATCCAATCTGTCTTCGATTTGGGTCTAGTTTGCTCAGCAAGTAATGCAATGATGGTTCTCTTTCTTTCTCACAAGAGGGCTTCTAACGTTGTATTCATCTGTTGTATTGTCTCCTCCTCTAGATCAACAGCTGAAAGCTGCCTTATTTTGGAAGCTTCCTCTACTTTTCCAGGTACATCATAAAGCTGATGAAAACACTATGCACCTTCTAACTCCAGCCTTTCTTTGCTCACTGCTGTTGCTGTTGGGAGAGAAGCAGGGCTAAACCACCTCCTTCAACTGTCTATGTTCCTTGCCCATCCTTTTCTTTGGGTGCCATGTTATAAATATTATAAATGTGACATTGTTGAATAGATTGGGGAATGTAGATGAGAGGTCCTCAGTCATCATAACTTAATATGTCATATGAATTAAGTCACCACTATCTGTAAACCATGGATTATGATTTAACAATAAAGTTGAGCTCAGCCACTGAACCATGGATAAATCAGGTTATGGCCACTGGCTCACTGTTTTTACAAGTTGCTTTGAAGCCGTTTTAACTTGTTTTTTTTTTGTGCTTTTTGTACATAAATGTTAATGAAAAGAAGGCTTTGCACAGCTAATCACTGTCAGAGGGGGTGATTCTTTTTTCTCAAAACTAGCTTTTATACTTTGCAAAAGTATCTTTTTTCATCATTTAAAAAATAAAAGATGAGATTAGTAGACTTTTGACCTGACAAAGCATGGAACTTCTTGTTTTGAAATTGCCAACAATGACATGTTACTTCTCAAATGTATTTCACTATGACGTCTTCCCCTTGACCTACCCTGCATGGTATAGACTAGAGCTGATGGGTTTGCAGTTGAATTCATGGGGTGAAGATTGCTAAGCATAAACGTAATTGCTAAACAACAAAGCAACCTCACAGGCTAATCTTAATGAAAGCTATGTGGTTAGGTTAGTGGCAAAGTTTCACTTAAAAGCTGTGAATTAATTCTTCTTCTTTCTCTTGGCACGCTCACTTTCACACAGGTAGAGAGAGCCCAAGGATAGTTGCCTTGTCCTCTTTCCTTTTTAGGCAATGTTGCTTCAAGTAAACCCACAGGATGTGGTTCTTTCACTCAACCCAGTACAGCATAGTTCAGTAACTGCAAATCAGATCTTTAGCTTTGCAAACCAAAGCTAAAACCAAGACAAAAATTTGAACTGCTTTTTTTTCTATCAGGGATGGATTTTGTACCCCCATCATTAAGGGAGTACAAATATTTCAATCTGGAGTTCAAAAGAAAAAGGCTAATATTTATATATATATTGCTATGAGCAGTAAAAACCTATGCTTTGTACCAGTTTTGTGCCATTTTATTCTACCAAGTCTGAAATTTATGCATCTGTATACAATGGATAAATCACATTGTCTTGTGCCTTTTGTAAGGAGGTAAGAATAATACCAACACTGACCCCAACCAGCCTTCCAGATTTGCACCAATGTCATGCTGTTTTGTTCCACTAAATCTGTGTCTTGTACCCAACATATGGATTCATACAAAACCTGGATGATGATGAAGAAGAAGCAGTTCAAACATAAGGCAGGTGCCTCCTCGAATACATCATTTTTTTCATTCTCCTCCACCTCCTCCACCTGTCCCTGTGATGTCCTCTTTCTACATCTCTCTGTTTGCTCTTCCTAAGTCCCCTTCTTTTTTCCTCCATCACACCACTATTTTAGCCCCTACTTTTGCATCTCTTCTACTTCCAGTTTTCTGATACTTTATCCTGTTCTGCTCCCATTATTTCTTCCCTTAATTGCTCCATCCTTATTCCATCTTCAATCAAAAATTGGGTCAATGTCATTCTTATTTTTCTCACCATTTGATTAGAAATTATCCATCATTCTGTGAACTTCTTCATAGAGCCAACTCTTCTACTTGTTTTAAACTTCCAGTGAAACTGAATCTTAGATGACGTTTTGGAATTTTTCAAAATGAATGTCACAAAAAATCAGTTTTCTTTGCTTTGGCCAACCCAAATCTAATTTATTTTAGTGCTGCTACCCAAGCATAACTAAGTTTCATTACTCATAGCTGAAACATGTTCTGGTAACATTTTTTTAATGTTATGCCATATTACTTTAGCCTTATCTCTAGTTTAATTTAAAGGGTGTTAAAGTCAACTGTAAATATTCTATTCTCAAACATTGTTTGTCTTTTTTCCCTGACACATGTTTTCTTCATAGATCGAATTTAATGCACTATGACAATAATGTAGCTGATGGTGCTGTTAATTATGGGATCTGCTCAGTTCCTATAGTCACTTCAGATTACTGTAAGAATGCTTCCTTCTCTCCAGGTCATTGAGTGGCTTTCCGGGGTCCCTTTAGTTAGGCTTTAGGGTAAATCTGATACCTGGTTCTCACACTGGTATCTAGCTTCACATTTGACAAAATACTTGCTAAAAGCTGGTTTCTGTCAGTTAAGTATTACAGGTTGTGTTACCATTGAATGTAATGCAAGTCTTAACTGCTTTTGCCAAAAAGGGCTTTCACATGACAGTGCTTTTTACTCTTTCAATTACAGTATTGGGGTGGGGGCACAATTTTGCTCACTTATTTTGGCTTCATGGCTATCCACACAATATTTTGAGGCACTGCTGCCATAAGGACAACATTGAATTCACTACCAACATCCCTATTCTATTGCAGCGCCAGTCACTTTCCTTAATTTATCCTGCATTAAAACAAGGACAGTATCACTTGTTGGACTCATTACTGTGACAGAACAGGGCTCAGTGATAGAAAAATCAAGTGTTATATTGCCATGTTTTATCTCATTTTAAAGCCCAATGGTCAGCACTTAAATGGGATCATCTGGCTTTGCCCTTCATAACTTTTGTGAGGAATATTAACATTTTCTATAATATTAGTTGTTGTTATCTCAGAAACAAATCAAGAACAGTTTCTACTGTTGTTAATATCTAATGCCATTTATGGTTTCAATAAGCTGTTTCTGGAACATTTGGGGGAACATTTATAAACTACCTTGCAAGAGACCATAAATAAGTATTGTTTGTAATTTAACATAAAATCTTCACTAACAAAATCCCAGCTTTACATACTGATCCTTTATGTGTCCTTGCTACATAAACAGCATTCTTCTTTTTAAGTATTCTAATTCTTGCCCAAAAGTAACGTGTTTTGAGTATTTATTTATTTATTTATTTATTTTTATACGGCAGCTCATCTCACGGCTCTCAATTTTTACCCCACTGCTGAAATGAAGTGCTACTTACTCATTTTTGATTCAGCCTGATTCAGAATAACAGCCTCATATTAGCTCTCTTCATTGATGATCCCAGTCTCTCAATCATAGCAGTCATTTGACTTCTTTTCAAACCTAATAGATTTTACACCATGAGATTATCTTTAGACCATTGTTCCTTGGCTGCTTGAACATGTATGGGCTTCACCTCCCAGAATTCCCAAACCATCACATTGGTTGGGACAATTCTAAGAGTTGAATTCCACACATCTTCAAGTGATCACAGTTGAGAAAGACTGCCTTAGATAATGTCTGATTAATGAGTGGAAGAGTATTTTAGTACAGGCATAGCTAAAGATGATTTAAATCTTTCTCATTCCCCAGATATGGATGAGAAATGAGAAAAACATTTCAAAGTTTTATGAGAAAACCATAACAAAGGAAATGTTGTGGTGACAGTAAAAAAAAAAAAAAAAGAGTTGTCAGGACTTGTTTGTACTATGGTTAAATATGAGCAGGGAAAAGTTCCATAAACTACAGTCCAGTGTCTATTTACATTGTAGTAATAATACCGTTTCAATTCAGGGGGACTTTGCTTCTGAAACAAATATTTTTCATATGGCTACCATCCTCCCATCTTGAATAAATATTTTTCCTGTTCTATTACATTCTTCCCCACTCTATGTATAATTGAATAGAAACGCTAACAATTTCCAGCCAGAAGATTCTAAATTTTGGGAATTGCTATCAACACATCAACTTGTAACGATTTGAGAAAGCTCTTTTATAAAAGCTTTCACTGAAAATGAAATCTAAGGGTTCAGACAGACAAAATATTACTTGCATACTTTTTTTTCCCTTACATATTTTTTTTTAAAAAATAATAGGTGTTCATGTGCAGGTAAATCGGGAATCTGAGGGAGTTATTTATTTGTTTATTTAATTTCCTTAGCCATCCATCTCAATCCAATTGACTCTATCTTCTCAGTACTTCTTTTGTCATCTAGATATAATATTTGCATTGGAATGAAAGCTTCTAAGTTCCACTCTAAGAGAGATTTTTCATATTTAACCCTTAATATAATCTGGTTGAGCTAGAACCTGAAAGTGGATGAGAAGAGCTGAAAACATAACCTTTGACAAGTAAATGGGATTAAGAATAAAAGTGATGAAATAATTTGGAATGAAACTGAAGTGCAACAAAGCAGGAGAGAGCATTGTGGAGATGTCTGTGGAAATGGTAATGATATGACAAAAAATGGAATTGATATCAAAGTTGTAAGTATTAATGTCCTGGAAAAAATAATGGAAAAAAGTGAAAATTGCTATGACAACATTTAAAAAATATTATAGCAGCAGGTATAGATGATCCATCTGGAAAAAAATGTTAAAATATGGGTGTGGTTTAATTATATAGTAGTTGTGAAATATTTTAACATCAGTTTGAAGGCTACTTCCATGCCAGATATTTGGAAGAATGTGATTATTGCTCTCTTTTACAGAGAGATAAATAACTTTGCAAAAAGGAATATTTGTTGATTTAGAGAAAGTATCTGAATTACGTTTAGTGTGAATATGGAGTTGAAAATTGGTTGCTGAACACAATGACCCATATATGATTAAAATAAAAGTTTATGTGAGTATAAATAGAATGCTTAGCTAATGATTGAACAATAAACAGAAAATATAATAAGACTATGACTGAGGATATGCCCTTGAAAGTTTAGTGCTTGTGATGACATTTGAGATGGATGATGGATAATAATGCACATGTATATGTACATTGCAACCAGATAATACAGCACTACAACCCAAACAATTTGCAGCAAATTTTAAACTGTATCAAATTCATCACAGGATATGAATTTGAATATTAATGTTCCAGAAACTCTACTGTTTGATAGGGAAAATGATTTCAAGGAATACATAAATGGTGAGAAAATACTGTAAGTAGATGTATTTGTATGCCATGATAAAAGGTTACTAAAGGTCAGAAAATGGATGGACAAATATTAAAATTCTGCAAATAGTGGTAGAAAAATAATGAATATTATGTGGCCTATAAGGTTTGTAAAAAAATTAATGACCTGTGCATAAAAAGGTGCTTTTACCTTCTTCATTATTGGGAACTGAGAATTGGCTAAGTACGGGAAATTGAATGCAGTAAGAATGGTTTTCTTAAGAACTATGTATGATTTTTAAAAACTTTAAAAATAAGTGATGAGTGAATAAATGAATGAATGAATGAATGAATGAAAAGTACCAAAAACGTACACTAAAATTAAAAAATATTGAACATAAGTAAATGTAAGAAGGTAGAGTGAAGATAGAAAGGAAGGGGAAGACTCAGAAAACCTTGACTGGCTACAGTAGATGAGATCCACACACAAAAAAGCCCCCAAAAAACAAAAAAAAGGAAGACAGGAAGCTTAAAGAACAAAAGGCAATTTGATGTAACATGGGTGATTGGCAAGAACAGAAGAGTGAAAAGTAGTATAATGAATAGTGTTGGGTTTAACTAGGTTTAGTTTGATTCTTTTATCTGTTGCTTCTAATTTCTTTTGCTCCTGCTCCTCAATATTTTTCTGTACCTTGCATAAAGCTACTTACTCCAGGGAACAATAGGGAACAATATGATGGATAAGTGTATGCATGCTATTGCATAAATATTATTCCACATAGTTTCCCCCTCCCCCACTTTATATGTTTGAATAAGTTCTTCTGCAGGGTTAGTTTTGATTACTACTTGAATGGGGAAACTCCAGGAAATACAAAGCTTTTGGGGTAGATAAAAACACCTCCAAAGTCAGTTACAAAGCATTTTTGCATTGTTGCGGAGAATATTGCATGAGCTTGCCTATTGTCATCAGGAATAAAACTCAGTTCAAAAGAGTTTACTTACTTTCCAAGTATGTGATGAAACATTACTCCTTCATCTTAGGAATTTTGGAAAGTATAGACTAAAAACTTCTAACAGTAGCCTCATTAAATCATAATTCAACTGAAACAAAACTAATATTAGTCATGTTTATGGTCCCTAAAGAAGGACACTCAAAGAACAGGCCATTCTTACCTGATCATTTCCTTTGCAATACAAAATAAAAAATCACAACTAAAAGAATACAGGGAGATAAAAATAACCCATGTTGTATCTCCCTTCCAGTTCTGCAAAGGTGACATTGTGATTAATAGCAACTCCAGCTTTGATGAAGATGTTACTAAAAAGAGCCAAGTAACACTGGATTACATCACTGAAGATTTTTCCAATCTTGACTACAGTCAGTTTGAAGAGATGTGCAAGAAGGATGAGATCCGGAAATTCCGTGCTATTTTTCTCCCTGTTGCATATTCCTTGATATGCTTTGTGGGACTGGCAGGCAATGGTTTGGTTATGGCAACCTACATCTATTTCAAGAGGCTCAAGACAATGACTGATATCTATCTATTCAATCTGGCCTTATCAGACATCTTCTTTCTTTTGACTCTCCCATTTTGGGCTGTCAGTGCAGCCAAGCACTGGATTTTTGGGGACTTTGCATGCAAAGCAATTTACCTCATCTGCCAGATGAGTTTCTTCAGTGGCATGCTGCTGCTTCTCTCCATCAGCATTGATAGATATTTTGCCATTGTTCAGGCAACTTCAGCCCACCGCCTTCGGTCCCAGAGAATGTTTGCCAGCAAAGTTACCTGTTTCTTGATTTGGACATTGGCTTTTATTTTTTCTGTCCCAGAAGTGATCCATACCAGTGTTTATGAACATCCTTCATACCCACCACAATGTTTCATCACCACAGGTGATCATATAGCCTTAACTATCAGTATAAGAGTATCTCAGATGGTCTTTGGGTTTTGCTTACCTCTATTTGTAATGACTTTCTGCTATTGTGTCATCATCAGAAATTTGCTGCAACCCCATAGCTTTGAAAGAAAACATGTAATCAAAATCCTTGTTGTAGTCATGATAGCTTTTGTTCTCCTTCAGCTCCCCTACAATTGCATCATAGTCCTCAGGACCATTTCAAAATACAACCGAACCACTGGCCAGTGCGATGCCATCAAGACCCTAGATGTGGCTAATGATGTGACTTACAGCTTGGCTTGCTTCCGCTGCTGTCTCAATCCTTTCCTGTATGCTTTCATAGGAATTAAGTTCCGCAATGATGTCCTCCGCCTTCTTAAAGATTTGGGCTGCATCAATCAAAAGCAGCTCTGGCAATGGTCAACAAACCAGAAGAACAGTAGAAGTTCTGTTCCCACAGAAACTGATACCACAACTTCTTTCTCCCCATGAGATGCTGGAACTCTGCATAATCAGTATCACAGATATTAATATCATATGGGTTTCACCATCCATCATCAGAGATGGAACCAGGAGATCCTTTAGATCTCACTTATTGGGAGTATTTTCACAGAACCTGAAGAGACCCGACTCTTCTTTCTCTTCTCCCACTGGTCAACTCAATTTATCTAGATAAAATTTGCTAAAAAGCAAAAGGGAGAACTGCAGAAAGCTGTCTGCAGATCTTAAATAGGAGAACCATGCCATAGCTACAGGAAAGGCAAAGTATGTTCTTCTGAAGCTGAAGAAAGTTGACATTCAGGAGGCCTAATTAAAAAATCTTACAGACATAAAATGGTGAAAATTATTTAGTATCTTCACAAAACTGAGAAACAAGCAAGCAGTTGATTTTTCCTTCCTTCCTTCCTTCCTTCCTCCCTCCCTCCCTCCCTCCCTCCCTCCCTTCTTTCCTTCCTTCTTTCCCACATCTCTGGCATTTACATGTTGTTGTTGCAACGGGGAAAAAAAAACACAAATGACTACCAGGTTCAATCCATTTTTACCAAAAAGTAGAATGAAAATGCTAAAATGTTAACTTTCCATAAAGCTATCTTTATATTTGTTCAGTACAAGTTGATATATAAGAATAAAAGTGAGTTATTTCTTTATGTAGAATGATTCATATTTCCTTTTAATTTTACCTTGTATTATTCCACAAACTTTTCTGTGTAATGTTTGTATTTTGTAATTCGTAATTTTTGACTTTTTTCTTTTTCTCATTTTAAAATTAATAAATAATAAATCTTAAGCTTAGGTTCCTATACTGACTGGTATACATTAGGATATGCTTCTATAAGGAAAACCTATATAGAATGTTTTATAGATGGCACATGACACCATTTAGATTAGAGAAAATGTTTAAAAATGTATCAAATATGTGTTGGAAATGTAAACAACAACCAGGCACTTATTACCATCTCTTGTGGATACATCCTAATGTTAAAAAGCTTTGGTTTAAGATCCATATCTAGAAGAGATGATTAAAATACAGATAGAATTTAAACCAAAATTCTGTTTGTTAGGGATATTAGGTTTGAATTATGGAAAAGAGAATGAGTATATTGCATGTGCTGACAGCAGCAAGAATAATATTTGCCCAATTTTGGAAAAATGAAAATTTACCATCTTACCAGGCTATAATAACAAAAATACTCAAATGTGCAGAAATGAATAGACTGACTTTAGAAATGAAAGAGAAAGAAGACACAATTTACTTTAAAACATGGGGAAATTTTTATTATTGGTTAGAAACACGCTAGAGTGAGAAAAGGTTATGAAATTTAAAGAGATAATTGATGATTTGTATTTATATTCCATAATTATTTGTATGAACTTGTTCTTATTTCTTCTTCTTCTTTTTCCTTTTTGTATATTTGTGATCTTAAATAATATGGTAAACTATAATTGATATGTAATATATTATTATTTTAAAGTGATTATAATTAATTAATATTAAGCATTGTTAAATAGTGAAATGAATGAGATTTATTGACTAATTTGTTATTTACATGATTATATGGAAAGTTGTTTAATAGTAGAGTAATTATTAAGATTTAATATGTAAACCCGATAGACTTGCTGAAGCGATGTTATTTTGTGGGATTAATCTCACTTTTGTGTTGCCCCTTTTCCCTGGTCTAAACTTTTTGTATGCTTCCCGTTGTCTTATCCTTTTTGACCCTATCCCTTTATTACCTTTATAAAACTCAATAAAAATATTTATTAAAAAAAAGAATATGCTTCATATGTATTGAGGGGAAGAAAGAAGGATGCATCATTTTAATACTATATAGAAGGATTGTCACTAGATGTTATCTCAATTGCTCCTAATAGAAGAATAATCACATTCTTGCACCTTCCATGCTATCAGGGCCTAGACAAAAGTCCCTTATGAGCATACAAAAGCGATTTCTCAAGTAATCCAATATGAAATTAATTGTAGCAATATCCTCCATGTACATTTTATTTTATTTTGTTATGGGGATAACTATGTGAAAACCTGAGCACTAGCATCCAGAGAAGGGAGGAATGGGAAAGGTAAAATCCAGAAGAGTCCTCTACTTTTATGTTACACACCATGAACTTTCCAACAATGGTTTCTCCAAAGCTGCTATTTACGTTTAGAGGGAACCTCCATAGATGCAGGAGTTTTTCTTGACATGCAAATATTAGTTTTGCAGAGAGGCAGGAAAGAAAGAATTACAATCCCATAACAACAACAACAACAACAAAAACACAGCAACAACACCTGCCACTGATGAGGCATGCTTCTGGCTCATATTTACATAAAATTGCAGAGGTTATTTTCATTCCTATTTTTGTCTGGGGTTTTTTTGTCCCTCAGTTATAGAACTTATTAACTGAAAAACTAATAAGAAATATTATTTTCTTTCCTTTCTTCTGGAAGCAGAGACAGAGGGACAGAGATTGGAAAAGAATAAAGCCAATAATGAGACTTCAATCTTCAATTACAAGTCAATGGTCATTTCCATTTATCAAGCTGGGATCACTGAAAAACTCCCCTCCTATATGAATTACTAGTTCCCAATACTAGTTCTTTCAGAAATTGTATTGATGAGAACTATCAAAGCTGGCTTCGATAATCTAGATGACCATAAAACAATTTTGGAAAGATTTTGAGTTTTCAGACAAATGACAGATAGGGAAAAGCTCAAATATTGAAAATATTTTATGCCCTGCTTTCCATCATAAAGTTACAGCAATAGAAGAAACACCACAAACCAAGGACTAAAGATATCCAATAGTTTGAGGGGAAAAAGTAGGCCTTTTCAAAAACTGAAAATTTTCCCCATAGAGAACATCAATCTCTATATTCTCAAATTGTAATGTTTTGTAAATATATCCTACTAACCCAGTGGTTCTCAACCTTTTTAATGCCGTGACCCCCAACCGGTCATAAGTCGAAGACTACTCAACCGGTCTTAAGTCGAGGACTACTCAACTGGTGCAGCACCGTTTGCAGAATGGGACTTTTGGTGGGCTCAGCAGGGCAGAGATAGCCTGGACAATTCCTATTGGCTTTTGAAAGCCAATAGAATTAGACTCTATTCAAGAGAGTCTATTCTATTGGCTTTCAAAAGCCAATAGAATAAAAGGGAGTAGCACAGCTAAGGAAAAGGGGGAAAAAATGGCGGACTGCGTTGTTTGGCGACCCCCGTGAAATGGTCGTTCGACCCCAAATGGGGTCCCGATCCACAGGTTGAGAACCACTGTACTAACCCCAATTACAGCAGAATATTACATTTTTTCAAAACTACTTATAATTCTTAAACCAAGAGGGACAGTCTATCTTTTAAAGCTTGATTGTACACAAATGATGTATGATATATACATACATACATACATACATACATATGTATATATTTACTGAGGTTTTCGCAGGCGTTTGTATGTAGGTCTTTGGTTATTCGGGTTTTCTCCCACGTAAAATTGGAAGTGTCTTGGCGACGTTTCGATAAAGTCTCATTCGTCATCTTCAGGCTGGTGCTTTCGGCTTCGTGCTTCTAGGAGCAATGTGTGATTGTAGCTGTTTCCTCCTTTTAACTGCCAGTGGGGATATGAACTGATTGGATGAGAGCTTGGCTGTGTTCTGATTCGATGGACGTGTGTTCTGATTGGTTAGGAGCTTGGCTGTGCTCTGATTGGCTGGAGGGTTGGCTGTGCTCTGATTGGCTGTGCTCTGATTGGCAAAGCCAAAAAATAGCAATGCAGTTCACCATTTTAAACCCTCCTGCAACTCAGACTAACCTGAGCACAACAAAGCCCCCACCCAAACAGAACACTCCCCCAGCCAATCAGAGCACAGCCAACCCCCCAGCCAATCAGAGCACAGCCAACCCCCCAGCCAACCAGAGCACAGCCAAGCTCCTAACCAATCAGAACACACCTCCATCCAATCAGAACACAGCCAAGCTCTCATCCAATCAGTTCATACCCCCACTGGCAGTTAAAAGGAGGAAACAGCTACAATCACACATTGCTCCTAGAAGCACGAAGCCGAAAGCACCAGCCTGAAGATGACGAATGAGACTTCGTCGAAACATCGCCAAGACACTTCCAATTTTACATGGGAGAAAACCCGAATAACCAAAGACCTACATATATATATATATATATATATATATATATATATATATATATATATACATATATATATATATATATATATACATACATTCATACATACATACATACATACATACACATATATATGTATGAATCTTTTCTCAAACCTTCCTCATTTGCTGCATTTTAGAATTACTTGTAAATGTGTTTTTCTATATCAGACACAATGCAGGAGGATGTACATTCATGAATGCCTATTATACAACTTATTCTTCTGATCTGATCTGTATGCATATTAAAAAGAAGATAAGATCACATGTAATCAAGGTTTCAGATTTTCATTTCTAGAAAAAAGGACGCCACAGCTCAAGCCTTACTCAATCTTTTGATTTGGAAGATCATTGCACCCCACAAATATACACACACAGAGGGAAAGGGGGAGGGGGAGGGGGAGGGGAGGGGGAGAGAGAGAGAGAAAAAAAAAGAGAGAGAGATTTGATCTTTCTCTGAAGCAACAGAACCCCAATTTGCACCTCCATCTATAATGATTACCCTCCAAATATGACATTGCTCCTTAAATAATGCTTCCTAAAATCTTCCAATTTCCTTAAAATTTTGGGTTTATTTTCTCCTGGAGAAAGAATCTTATGTTTTTCTTCTATCCCTTTTCAAAAGGTTTTCTCACTTTGTTGTCATCAGGTGGCAGAGAGTTTTGATGTTTTGAGATAGATTGATAAGTGCCGTGGTTGTGTTTATCTTGATATCACTGTGAGTAAAACATCACAAGTGATCCATCTTATAACTGGAATATTGTAGCCAGCAAAAAAAAAAAAAAATGTAACAGTACAAGGCTACACAGCAGACAAAATAGGGTACCAAAAATGGCATCAAACAGTATTATGATTGTGTAATATTGCATAAAAACAGGGTAACGATTAAATCAAAATTATGAATCTATGAACTAAATTATATGAGTAATTACAAAGCAGAGATGATCCTAGACTTCTCTCCAATTGTTAAACTCCTCATCATAATAAAATAAAATGAATCAATACCCTGTTGGTTCGTTTTTAGTGGTACCCTATCATCTAGAATTTGAGACACACTACCAGCCTGCCCAGTAATTGGACTAGTTCTATTACAAACTATCAGCTGCATCTCAGTGGTACAAGTCCAGATACAATAGAAGCAGTAGCATTATCAGCCTTTTTCTCTTATATTTAGTGTTCAACAGAAAGTTGATTGAGATTGACAATAGTCCAAGTTTGAAAAAGATTTCCAGAAAAGCAGGAGTGACACCAGGACAAGACTTTGGGGCAAAAACTAAGAGAAGATCCCAACATGGCAGGACTAGTGCTTACTATATTTGAAATAATGCACAATGTCAGCTATTGGATTAGGGAGACCATTCTGTTCAAATGCTAAATGAGTGTATTATGCCAATTCCCAGAAAGAGTACTAACAATGTTAGTGAAATACTTTTATTTATTTTTAGATATTTTTAAATTTTCATCTTTATTATTTTTATAAATAACTAAAGGTGGCAAGCACACACAATACTTACTCGTATTTTTCGCATAACCTCAACCCTGTGAGGTGAGTTGGGCTGACAGAAAGTAACTGGCTGTAAGCGAATCATCTGGCTTTCATGCCGAAGGCAGAACTATAACTCACAATCTCCTGATTTCTAGCCTGATGCCTTAATTACTAGACCAAACGTTGCTAAGAAGCAGAAGAATTGTTCTAGTCCTTTGTCTTGCAGATGTATTAACCACTGAAGAAAAGGTGAAGTGAAACTCTTCATTAACTGTTATAATGATATGAGTTTCCATCCTCACTTCACATCTTGCTTGCTTATTCTGCTTTCCAGTCATGTGATCAAACAAGGTTCAGAATATGAAGCACTTTAAAACATAAATAGAAATCACTTTTAGACTCAGTTATATCCAAATATTGGCTGATGAGAAAATGAGAAATGAAATTTGCTGGCT